AACCAAAAACTTTCAAAATGGAATAAAGAGGAGAATTATGAAATAAAATTTGATAAGGAGAAATAAATTCAGAACAAGAAGACATTCTATTAATTAAAAATACTGTTGTATCAAATGCATTCCACCAAAATTGCAAAGGCATTGAAGCATGGGCAAGCAAAGTTAGTCCAGTTTCCACTACATGTCTATGCTTTCTCTCACTCTTACCATTTTGTTGTGCGCATAGGCACAAAGTTCTAAACATGATCCACAACTGGTTAGATAGAATAAGAAGTCCTTTTATTCTCCTCCTTGATCGAGTGTAGACACGTAAGTTTGGTATATTGTCTCTCAACTAAGTGATGAAATCTAATAAAGGTAGATCTTACTTCACCTTTAGTCCTTAAGGGAAGAGCCGGGTAAACCTACTAAAGTCATCTATAAATGCAACATAATATCGAATCCTTCAAAAGACATTATAGGGGCTGGTCCCCAAACTCACTGTGCACAAGTTCTAAAGAAGTAGCTCTTGAGTGAGAGAGGGGAAAATTATTCCTATGCATTTTACCTAGATGAACGCATCACAAAAAGGCAATGTAGATGATATGGCTGGGAGTCATACTATATTTAATTAAGCTATTATGTTATTAAATTTATCGAGCTATATATCATTTGATTATACAATATGTTATATTCATCAATTTATCATACTATATTTATTATTTATTACTTGAAATGTTATATTATAATATTTAATTATTGAATACATTTGGAAAAATATGAAGCTATTATGTTATTAGATTTACTATGTTATATATCACTTGATTATACAATCTATCATGTTATTAAATTTGTCATGCTATATACCATAATAATTTATTATTTATTAATTGAAATTCTACATACTTATATATTTAGTTATTGATGACATTTGAAAAAAAAATCATCCAAACATATTATATATATATGTAAACAAAAGCATCATAATATTTTATTATTGATTACCATTTAAAAAAAAAAATCATCCAAACTAAACCAAACGTAATATAAAAATGAAAAAAAATATAAATATGATATTAATGCACTCGAACTAAGGACCTTAAAGTCAAAATAATTGCATTTTTAACACCAAGCCACAGAAAATCATTGATAAACTTAACACCATATAAAAGTAAAGCATCTTGTATGTCTTCAGTTACGGCATTGGCGGGGTCATTATCGTTGTTGTCCCCTTTCTTTGGTGCTTTGCAATTCCTCTGTATGTGGCCTTTGTTGCCACAATTCTAACACTCAACTTTTTTTTTTCAAACCTGGACTTGCTTCTTCCGTTCCTTGATTTTCATCTTCCTCTGCCTCAGTTTGAATTTCTATCATAGCCCCTGCCTCTTGTTTCAACATTCAAAGCATTTGATGTTATTTCACCTGAATCATTCTTGCAAACCTCCTCAGTAAGAATTTTGTCTCTAACATCTGTGAGCATTTCGCATTACCTGTTGAATTACTAATTGCTGCTCTCATAGGCTCCTAACTATTTGGTAGGGAGGCCATAAGAATTAGGGCATGAACTTCTTCATAAAAATCAATTTTTAGATACGACAGTTGATTAATAATTGTATTAAAATAATTCATATGCTCTGTCACGGAAGCACCTTCTCTCATCTTAAGATTAAATCATTTTTTCATAAAATGTACCTTATTATTCGCAGAAGGCTTCTCATACATATCGAACAAGATCTTCATCAACCCTGTTGTGGTTGTCTCCTTCACCACGTTACTTGCCACGTTCTTGGTCAATGTCAATTGAATGATTCCTAATACTTGTCTATCAAGGAGTGCCTAATCTTCATTTGACATCTTTTCAGGTTTTGCTCCTAGGAGAGGTAGATGTAATTTTCTGCCATACAGATGATCTTCAATCTTTATCTTCCAAAATGCGTAATCTGTTCCATCAAACTTGTTGATCCCAGGTCCAGATCCTCCTTCTCCAACCATTGCTTTCTTCCTTGAACCTTGCTTTGATACTAGTTGTTGGGGGATTTAATTGAATAATAGCAAATCCTAAAACTCTGAAAGCGAAAAATAGTGCGAACAAATGACACAAAATAACCACATACACAAACACAAGATTTATAGTGGTTCACTCTCTGTATGAGAGCTAAGTCCACTTTGCCACTACAGAATTTCACTATGATGAAGAAGAAAAGAAATTACAAGAATCTCTCATAAGCCTCACAAATTGGCTCATTCATTAAACCATATTTGGTGGCTCTCACTCTCTAATTGTTGTTTTGCCTTCTATTTAATTTGTGATGTCTAACTCTAGAACTTAACCCTTTTTTATAGATAGTACATGGGACACTATTCCTAATAAGATTAATGGGAATTATATTTTAATTCCTAATACAATTATAATCCTATTTCCAATTGTATTTCTAAAAGAAAACAATTCTACTTAAACACAGTGAAGCTCGTAAATTGAGAGAAAAATTAAAAGAAAATCAAAGCTTCAATTTGTGTATTTGATTGAATGAATGTAATACAGTAAGGATTTGCTACTTAAGTGAGTCAGTAGCTAAGAGAGTGTGAAGAGAAAAGGGAAAGTGAAATACAGACATTCGTTCTCTTTAAGAGAAAAACACAAAACGACAGCGTTTTTGTGTTTGCTTAGTTAAATATTTGCTAAGCCCTTAACTTCTGAATTCTGACACTTTTAATCCGCAAACACAAATTAGGAAAACTCATGTCCTAATCTAATTCTAATTTGGATTGAATTTGGCTCCACAATCTCAACACACATAAGTATAATAATAAAAAGCCTGACTAATAATATAAAAATAAATCACATATTAGTTTGATATAATCCATTTATATTCACTTTAATACGGATAAGTTTATTAGTAATTAATGTTAAACGAGATGTATTAGCAATTGCAGATCATTTGATTGGACTGAAATTTTGAATGGATACACTTGATGATATGAACCATTTGAAAAATAAATGGATTCGGTCTGTAGTGGATCTCTTACAAGATCAATTCAGATTGGCACTGGTTCGGTTAGAAAATGTGGTTAGAGGAACTATATGCGAAGCAATTCGACAATGAATATGCATGAGTCCAACAATATTGTTAATACAAATTAATCCTCAAATAATAATGTTAACCCTATTATTTAAAACTATTAATAATGTAACAAAATCAAGTATGGGAGCCTAGTTAGAAACAACCTTTATTCACCCTGATATTTAAATCACTCCTCATAACTAAAAAATATACTTCAAGTAACCCTTTGTTATTTATTTTATAACGTAAACTTATTCTCAGTACTCCTCTAATAACCTAGAATTTATACTTACCCTTATAAGAAATCTTTCAAGCTTGAAGGTGCCCATCCATCCTAGCTTTAAACATAGGATTTGCGGCATATGACTATTATGCATAAAAGGAAGCATGGAAAGAGCATCTGATTACTGAACCACTCTGGGATTGTCACTTAGTGCATTGATGCCTTTAATAAGGCTTTGCCTTTGCAATCATAGGCTGTTGGAAGCTCTCTCTGCTCTGTCATCTGTTAGCCTTTCTAACATATTGCCTTTCCTGATTACCTTATTGTTTTCCTGCTACAATGGGATAATTAGCTTCAGAGTCTTCCTTCCTAGAAGCCTATATACATATATCCTTCAGGTATATATTATGATTCATATTTATCAATGATAATCCAAGAGATTATCTCACATTATTTTTAAAAATAACTGAGATAATCATCCAAATTGGACATGTTCAATATCAAGGATAATCCACTATTATCTTATAGCAACTCATTTCTTGTTTTATAAAACCTCCCCTGCTGCTTATTATCTTAGATTAGGCTCCCACTTTGTGATCTTCAACTTTACGAGTTTTTTTTTTTTTTTTTAAAATAATTTTCTGCTTCATAAGTCAGACAATACGTTGTCATTGAATTTCCTCTGAACAAAACGTCTTTAATCACAGGCTTGATTATCATAGCTTAGAAGAGATAATGAGATTAAAATCATTGATACATTTGGAGAAATACTTACATTAGACAGTCTCACCATCTCACTTTATTGATATGGTGAGACCCTCCAATTAAACAAAGACACATATTGTTAATTTTCAAAACCACTTCTAATAGTGATGGTTACCTATGAATTAATGATAATGGATAGTTATTTTTTAATCATGTCGATGAATGGATGAAAGAGAAGATTTTGAAAATATGTAATAACACATGTCATTACGTCATTAGTCATCTCACCATGTTAGTAAAGTGAGATAGTGAGACTGTCCCATATAAATTTTTCTCTTGGGTTTGATCTATCTATGAATAATCCAATGTTTTGCCACATCAGATCATATGAATTCCACCTCAGCCCTAAGAAATGTTACTTTCATATATTAAAAGCAAGAGTAACTCTTTCATACCTTGTGGTATGTGCAACCGGCCAACCATGGGACCAGTGCATCTCATGCACGTTGATGTGGTAGCCTGTGATTGGCTGGTTGGGTATAAAAGATTTACTCAAACACATTTATATACGGTTGGATAAGATGCCCTTTGCCCATGTAAAGGGGCGACCCCTGAGCTTAATGAAAGATTTACTCAAACAAGTTTATACACAATTATATTGTAGGGTTGAATAAGATGCCCTTTGCCCATGCACAGGGGCGACCCGTGACCGTGAGCTTAACTGCAAACAAACATTAGGTAGCTTTCCATGTGTGAGTGATGATTATATATTCCCATGGATATGCAGTTTGTTTGTATTTGGAATCTATCACATGTAAAATGTTCATAATGATATTCTAAAATTATGTGGTTGTCAAAACTTGTTCTTTGCAGTTAGAACATAGGACAGGTGGTTGAGATTCTACTAGATAAGAAGTATGTGAATGCTATAGTTACCAAAATAAAATAAAATACATGAGAAAAATGCACAAGAAAATTACCTCCACATGTATGTTTTAAGTATAATTAGTCGCTTAGAATATTTNTGTAGCGAATATGGCTGATTATATCGAGACTGATGAGTGTGTCCGCGCTTGTGGCGTTGATAGAAACTCTGTTGGGATTTCTTCAGATGCTCTCCTTGAGCCACAATTCACCTCCAAGCTTTGCTCCCCCGATTGTTACCAGAAGTGCCCCAACATTGTTGATCTTTACTTCAATTTGGCTGCCGGCGAAGGTATCAATAATAATCTTTTATCATTAATTAATATCTTAAAAGGGAAAATTTATTGTGTTATTAAAAACGTGTTAAAAATTATGGTTGTGAAATCTATTTTGATGGTAGCTGGTACGTCTCTTTGGAATAGTGTTGGTTGCTTGGGTGGTGAGAAACTGAGATTCAACCAGAAAGAAAATGAATTAAAATAGTTTTAAAGGAAGAAAAAAAAGAGAGAAATTAATAGTTTGGTCAATGGTCATGTAGGTCTCTGCTTTCACTTTCTCTTTTTCTCGTAAAAGCCATACAATATATTTTCTTGCTTTACACATTTTTACTTCTTCTTCAATCAAAGTATCGTCCTCTCAATACCAAACTTGACACTTGGTGTGTAGCTAATTGTAATAATTTTATTTTATAGCATAAGATAATTAAAAGTAATTTAATAACGTGGGTTATTTATTGGTTGATGATGCAGGAGCTTTCTTGCCGGATGTTTGCCAGCAGCACCGCAGGAACCCTCACCGTATGATGGTTCAACTTTCAAGCTCCGGCGAAGTCACCCCTGGCACCATTTCATCTCATTCATCCAAAGCCATGCTCAGCCCTGCTTCTGCTCCTGCTATTTCCCCAGCTCCCTTTTAGTTATTTTCTTTACAAATCATTCCCTGTTAAAAGATGATACAAGAATAAGTATTAGATACAGGAGGTGTTCATTTGTTGAGGATTATTTTCATATATTAAATGAGAGATTTTGTTACTCTTATTTACAATACAAGTTTCATTTATCGGTATATTCTGTATCATAATAAATACTGTTGATAGTGTGCTTTTATTTAATATATTAATCCTGCAAATATTCTTAAATTTGTTATGTAACTTATTTTATTTCTCTTAAAGCACACTCCAACATTAAGAATTTAGATATATCAAGATGAAGTTCAAGGCCTGATATTTTTGGGTACCCGGCCCGAAAAGGTTGGGCTTTACCCGATGTTCATGGGCTTGAGCCTGACTCTGATTTTAAAGCCTGACCTTGGGTACGGGCCGGGCCTGGGTATGTCTTCAGGCCCAGCCTAGCCCGGCCCGGCAATTTTAGTATTAATTATACTAAATTACCCTTATACTATATATTTAATTATAAGATTATTCTACATATATATACTCATTTTTCCCAAACCCTACATAGATGAAATGATGCACTTTGTGAAAAGTTATTTATATATTTGGCGAGTATTAAAAAATAAATTAATATTCAAAAATTGCTTCTAGAATAAAAAATATAAAAAAATTGAAATTTATTAATATTTAAAAATTCACATTATAAAAATGAGTGGGCTTGGGCCGGGCCGGGCCTGAGGTTACAAAAAGCCCATCGGATTGGACTTGGGCTTTACCTATCATACCCGTCACGGGCTTGGGCCTTTGTCATGAGGTCGGGCTTAAGCCTGGGCCAAGGGGTACCCGGTCCCAGCCCGACCCATTGCCATCACTAACTTGTTTTATGTAGTATAAGTACATAAATAAAAAATTGCTCTTAGATTATTTGGAAAATTGTTCTTTGTATATATGTAGCCTAAATATTCTAAAATTAGCACTTGAGTTCTTCTTCTTAGTAAAGAGGGAATAGCCCGACACAGCACACTTGAAACCAGCTCCTTCGACAACCTCACTAAATTTCGTGAACATGCACACGAAGCTTGTTTCAAACCATAAATAGCCTTTTTAAGACGACACACCAGGTTGCGATTTCCATCAACTCCCTCCGGTCGACGCATGTACACTTCTTCTTTCAAATCCCCCCCTTATAGTCAGTTGAAATGCATTCTTCATATCGAGTTGATGAAGACCCCATCCTTTCACAATAGCAATAGACAGGATGCATCTGACAGACGTCATTTTGGCAAAAGGGGCAAACGTTTTATCATAGTAAACTCCATGCTCCTGGGCATACCCGTTTGCTACAAGTCGAGCCTTATGCCTTTAAATCGACCCATCAGCTAGATACGTTATACACCCGAGCAAGTGACTAAACGAGACTCCATCCTAACTCAACCAATCGCTTGTTTACCTATAGGCAACTCAACGACAATCCTTGGGCTTTGCTCCTTCACGTACAAAAATATCTGGTATTGGAGTATTGTGCTTCTCAAGGCCCTCTGAGTCAGAGCAACCCTGCCGGGGCGATCCAGTTATCTAAAGAATTGTTAGGCTATTTTTTTGAAGCTCGAGTATGGTCCGTGCTAGGCCTGCAATCGAACCGAACATGAACGAACAAGCNAATACATAATATCACTTATTTTAATTTCCATATGAAATTAAATATAGGCAACGACCTCAGCAAATTTAATTGTACTGTGAAATTACCAAAATACTCTTTCATCTTAAAAGACGAAAATACCCTTCTCACTTATTTATCCTTAATATGTCTTCTATGTGTGCGACCCGAAGGCTCCTCATCATATCGACAGTGAGTAGTATCGCGAATGACACCCAATCAATTGTCTCACTAAACACAGACCAAGATTGACCTCTAACAAGGCATCATGGTCACCCAATAAATTCGGATTCAGCGAAACAACTTACCTATCAACGATATGGTTATTATGCAATCAAATCTTTTCATCATTCAATATCTCATCAAGGCTGAGATATAGAAGTAGTGTCAACCTCAGATATCCTTGACATCTCGGTATTCAGTTATTGGATCAACGACCAGAAATAGATTGGATTGAGTTACAACTCATCCCACTGTGGCCACAAATTTAGTGTCGTTGCCATTTACCGAATTGCTTAGTGAGATGATTTCTCCTGTACCTGGGAGTGTTGAATCATTTGTCAATCCACCATAGTCTTAATACACTTCTCAATCTAGCCAATCAGTACCGTTTTGATAGCTCTGCATAGAACTACGTTGGACTAGTGTCAAACTACACCAATTGGTGCACAAGGCGCTCCGATGATAGTCTAAGGATCAGATGCACTACCATCCGTTAGAGGATTTATTCCACAGACACTAGGGTTACCATCTATGTGGAATCCTCAAGTGGTCTATCCAGTGAACTCGCCTATGGCAAACACCCATGTGTTGCACCAGGTTGTCGACAAACAACCTTGACAGGTGAGATTAGTCATTATCTTTCGATAGGGTTGTTCAACACTATAATAGTCTTATTGTAGTATATGTATCCATAGTCAAAATAATACTAGGGCTACAGACATTTCTAGAATAACCACCATATGTGATCATAGGGTCCTCACTATCGAGATTTAAAACACTCAATACTCTCGTCACGGTTCTACCATTCTAGGACATACATTACGACGTACAATAAATATGAATTACATGATGTAGAGAAAACCTTTTTATTGATTATAAACATTATTACAAGAGTCAATAAATATGAATTACATGATGTAGATAGTGTTTCCTACTCAACTCCTCTACTAAAGGCTTAATTGATGGGCCCTTTTGTGATCTGATAAATTCTCTCATTTTTTCAAACACCCAAGCACTTGTTGCATCAAGATTATTGTAAACCCTCATGCAGATATATGTGTGCTCATACTTCCTAGTCTGATAAGATACTTGATCAGCTATCATAGCAACATATAGATGAAATGGACAATCTTCTTGCTTACATTTTGCCTTAAATCTTCTTTTCTCATTGTACAACTTCTTTACAGCAAACCCTCTCTGAATTACATAATCTTGAAACACCTTTCTAAAGTGATCAACTCCTAGAAACACTTGACCAACTTTGAAGTAGATTTTCTCATCTGCCCTATATGCAAACTGTTAACCCTTCATATTCTTGCTAAACCTAGAGACTGCATCATCATTATCACTAGACCTTTCATATGCATTGTCCTCATGGTATTCAGACAATTCCCCACCATTTCATGGCCATCCTCCAGCCCCCCACTTTTTTTCCCCTTTACCCCATAACTTCCTTACCCATCTTCTACTAGGCCTGCAATCGAACCGAACATGAACGAACGGGCCCGTTCGAAAATCGTTCGATAAGCATGTTCGATTGTTCGTGTTCATGTTCGTGTTCGAACGAACACAGGATCTGTGTTCGTGTTTGTTCGATTAACAAAAAGCTCGTTCGTGTTCGTTAACAACTCGTTCGTGTTCGTTCGACTAACCTGTTCGACTAACTCGTTCGACTAACCTGTTCGACTAACTCGTTCGACTAACTTGTTCGTTCGACTAACTCGTTCGATAATTTGTAAATACTTGTTCGACTAACTCGTTCGATAATTCGTTCGATAATTTGTAAATACCTGTTCGACTAACTCGTTCGATAATTTGTAAATACCTAAATATTTTAAATGTTTACATATATATTTTGTATCAACACCCATAAATTTATAGTGGAATGAAAGTCTATTGTAATATATGATCAATACATATGTGTGATTAATTTGTTCTATATATATATTTTGTATCAACACCCATAAATTCATAGTGAAATGATGGCCTATTATAATATATGATCAATACATATGTGTGATTAATTTGTTATATATAATGTGTAATTGTGTATATACAAAATTATTATCATACATATATTAATCATAGGTTAAATATGTTATGAAATTACCAAAATTATAGGTTATCATATATTTATTATCATTACATGAATTATCATAAATATTTTAAATGTTTACATATATATTTTATATCAACACCCATAAATTTATAGTGGAATGAAAATCTATTGTAATATATGATCAATACATATGTGTGATTAATTAATTATATATATATATATATATTATCATTACTGTCTACATATTTATTCTGTACCAACACCTATAAATTCATAGTGATATGAGAGTTTATTGTAATAAATGATCAATACAAATGTGTGATTAATTTAGGTTTAATTAAACTATTATATTATTAAATTTGGTATGCTATACATCACTTGATTATACAATATGTTATGTTTATCAATTTACCATACTATATTTATTATTTATTAATTGAAATGCTATCTTATAATATTTAATTATTGATTACATTTAGAAAAATATGAAGCTATTATGTTATTGGATTTACTATATTATATATCACTTGATTATACAATTTATTATGTTATTAAATTTGTCATGCTATGTATCATAATAATTTATTACTTTTTAATTAAAATTCTATATACTTATATATTTAATTATTGATGACATTTGGAAAAAAAAATTCAAACATATTATATATATAAGAAAAACAAAAGCATCATAATATTTTATTATTGATTACCATTAAAAAAAATTCATCTAAACTAAATCAAACATAATATAAAAATGAAAAAAAAAAATTTTAATTATAATAATGTATAACATATTTTTCGAACATAAACGAACGAACAATCGAACAGATGGATTAGTCGAACGTATAGTGTTCGCGAACATAATCGAACGAACAACCCATGTTCGAACTCGATCGAACATGTTATCGAACAACTATCGAACTGTTCGCGAACAAATGTTCGCGAACTTTATCGAACAGTAATCGAACGAACAACGAACGTTCGCGAACTGTTCGGTTCGTTTGCAACCCTAGTTTGTGCGCCGTTTTTCTTCTTTACCATGACGAATCATAATTTAATAAATTACTTCTACTTCTAACCGGGCTTGGACCATGTCTCCCAAACAATCTTAGTACATATGCGCAAGACGATTCCACAGATTGAGGTCGGAATGGGATCGGGTGTTTTCACGTCTCACCGTAGTGCCTAGTTTGTCTTGACTTCCGATTAATGAA